GTCTTAAGATGCCAAAAAAGGTACCCTCAAACAGCTGCATTGATTTAGTGCCGTTCAGCACCCTTTTGTTCCCACAGCTTCTACTTTTTCTTTGTCCTCAGACTGAGTTGCCCACACTTTGCCAATCCAGTTAACTGGTGCTACATTTCTGATTTTGTTTATGAGAACCCATAAAGCCACTGATATGTCACATGAGTCACCACAGCCAAATGGAGTAGACAACAGTGAGGGCAATTAAAGCCAAAGGAGGAGGAAACTGGCACTTAGACCGGCATGGAAACATGGCCCATGTGCTAGCAACAAGTGCTGAATACCACCAAAAGGGACAGCCCTGGAAGTAAACATGGAATGAGGATAACTGTTTGAGCACGAATCAAAAACAGACTGGCATTAGTATAGAGCCACGCTGCAGTTGTTGTAACAATAATAGAAGAAAAGAGGCCGAGAAATGCCTCATCCTCCAACCACCATAGCAGGCTAAAGATCACCATGAGATGGTTTGAAATCATCACTGCAGCATATCCGCTTCCCACTAATACCTTCTTTCCTAAAACATTGGGTTTTCCTTGCAAAAGGACCTCATTTTATTAGGAAGGTGAGAGGAGCAGAAATCTGGAATAGAAACAGATTAACCAGGTGCAGGCCAAAACTGTTTTAGAACTGCATTTCATGGTTACATCAGCCTGGCAGTCCCCAAATGTCTGCTCATGTGACCAAACTGTGGGAACACGGCAGTCAGGGGCTGCAAAAATGAGCATTTGCTCAGGGCTGGGAAAATCCCTCTAACTGACATGGTCATGGCTGATATTTCATGTTTGCACACGTGGTGGACCAGATAGTTAGGATGACTTAATGAGTGAAAGGTCTATGACATCTGTTAGCACTTTAAAACACTTGTGTACCCTGATTTAATATATATTTTTTTACAAGTAGCAGAAGTTTGATGATGCAAAACGAAGCAAAACTCTATTCTTATTCTTTCCTCAGCAACATCTTGACTTGAGCCCTCTTTTGAACTAGAACTAACCCTGTTAACTGGGAGATGTGTATCTTGAAATGTGCCTAAAATTGTCTATACCATAAAGACTTGCTTCAGCTAGGGATGTACCTCATTCATCAATATAGTTATAATTAATCCAAACTGAACAACTAATGACAGTAATAGTTGGACACCCTTGCAGCTAGCCATTATTCTGAAGCCTAGCCTAAATTTCAAGGAAGCCAGAGGTGAGAGATGCGGCAGATATGTAGTAGACAGGGACTCATAACAATCAGTATTTCTGCCCACATCTTGCCATAGGATTGTGCCAGTTGGTTTAAAATACTATTAAGGCTCTCTGGCCAATCACATTGCCTGCTCTGTGGGTAGAGCTTTGACTCTGTGCAAGTCATGACTCTGGCTTGTTGTTGTTCTGTCTACGGTGCTGCACAGAAGCAAATGTTTTGCTTGCACGTGCTGATGTACAGATATGAAGGCTGAAAAGGAAAACAGAGAAAAATATTCCCCTTGAAGCCATAAGCAGGACTGCATGTGGGATCCAGGGAAGGGCCATGGCTCAGTGGTAGAGTATCTGCTTTACATGCAGAAGATCACAGGTTCAATCCCTGGCATCTGCAGTTAAAAGGATCAGGGAGCGAGTGATGTTAGTGGCCTCCATCTGTGACCCTAGAGACCTGCTGCCAGTTTGAGTAGACAGTACTGATCTTGGTGTGAGTTCATGGATAACAAAGTCAGAAGAATTTTGCTGGTACCCCTGCAATCAAAGTCTGGGGTGAGGGAGGGGAAGGGCTAGAAACCCTGTTGTTGCTCCCAGCTGACTGACTGGCATTTGCATCTTCTCTCAACAGTGTGTATGTGATGCAATCAGCACCACACTCAGAAACAGCAAAGAAACAAAACAGACTAGACATGAGCTATTGGTGATCAGTACGTGACCTTTCTCAGTGTCTCAGGTGTTTCCTTAAAAATAGTTATAGATTTCAACAGTTTTAGATTAGGGTCATGGTACTGGGGTAGAGTTTAGTCCCCCCCCCCCATCCCCTTTCCCCACCTTCACTGCTATTAGTCCCCTAGGAGAAAAACAAACAAATAACCCCTTTGATTAATTAAAGTAAGGGTAAAATCAGATGGGGTCACACATAAATAAGTAGGAGGTATAGAAAGTATATAAAGCAAGGAACAAAACCCTGCCTCCTCCTGTCCCTTAATCTACCTGCTCTTCTGTTCTCTGTTTAAGCATTTTGTCCCAGTCTAGCACTAACACCAGAAGGGGGCCAGGCTAGGAGAGAAGTGCTGAAAGAAACAAAACACAGCAAGATAAGATGCAGAAGACAGTACGTTCAATTATTGTTTAAAACACAGGCCCCCCTCCCCCTGCATTTCTCAATTCTTTACACATTCCTCCTCTATTCTTCTGAACAAATTTTGAGTCCAGTGTTACCTTTAAGACCAACAAAGGTTTGGGGGGAGAGGGAGAAAGGACATTTCCCCAAAGACGCTGCTGGAAACAAAGAAAACAAGTGTGTAAACGAAAGCTTTTTAAAATTGACCTTGGGGGGAGAATTGCAAACTACCAGTATGCACCCCATGTGTGCACAATATCAAATGCAAAACAGATGTATACAGATATTCAAACCATTTGCAGAAGTTTGGGACACATCACCGTGTTGGGAAATGAACTAATTTATGGTTTTATATCTGCTTACACACGCAACAAATGGACTGTGCACACATCTGTATACCATGAGCCAAAGAAAGCTGTTTGCCTCACCCACTGTGAGAGACTTCACATAGGGAACACTTGCCTGCATTTTTTGTTAATGTAGCTTGCACACATTCAGCTCAGAGCATCATGGGAAGAAAGAGCACATGTTAGCCATTGTGAGCAGAGAACAACAACCAAGAGGAAGAAATCCCCCATTACGGAAAAGACTGGATGTCACGCAGGACACGGACCTGATCTGCATCTGTATTGCAAGTTTCCTGTTTATGCCTGGGAAAGCCAAGATTCATCTGTACTTTAAAGAGGATAGCTGACATTTCACACCTGGCCAGATGGCATTCCATGAGATAGTGTAGTATTTCAAATATTGGCCCAACCCATAGAATACCTGCCCCTTTCCACATGCACCAATAGGGAAAAACTATGGGATGGACTTGTAAGTAGGTGGGATTGCAGTTTGGCAAGGTGCCACCCACCTGGTGATTCAACTATAAAACGCAAAGACCATGCTTTAGGTCTTGGGCTAGCCACATTCTACCATCAATGAAAAGACCATGCTTCAAGTCTTTTGGCTGGCCATATTCTACTACCCCCCCCCTTCCTGCTTTAAAACTCTTTGTCTTTACCGGATCTCTTTGGGATGCACAGCCAAAGAGATCCGCTTACATGCACACAGACACACACTTGACCGGCTGGTTCTGGAACAGTGTGAAGTAGGTAAAACTTGTAAACACTATTTTCTGTCCCTTTATTTTTCCTTGCAACAGACAAGACTTCTGAAACAGGCAAGTATGAACCGATCTTCCTGCCTACCTTCAAGTAAATAAGAAACTATTTTATTTCTATTTCTGTAATTCTAAAGGAACCTTGAACGTATGCTATTGTGAGACTGATTATTTTGTATGTGTGACTTTGATATCCTTCAGTAAAAAGATTATTTGTTTTGGAAAAACACCCGTGTGGTCTACATTACTGGGACTCTGGGTTCAGACACGACCTTGGTATAGCTGGCCAGGACTCACGTTAAAATTTAGTTAGCCTCTGCTGTAAATAAAGCAGTTGGCGTAACAACCCACATCACAAAGAAGCTGTTTGCTCTACCATGTATAAAGTATTTCAGATACAGACACCTGTTTCATGACACCTGTTTCATGACAGAATGAATTTCTTAAAACTTTTTTTTTATAAAAGATGGATGTTAAACTGAATTAAAAGTCCAAATTAGACTAATAGAAAACATGCCACACATACATGCATATAAAGCCCCAGCATGGTCACGAGAGTTTTCCAACACATAAAATTCAGAGGCCAAGGATGTCACAGACTATTTTAGGACATGTAACTGGAAACTCGTATGGGTTAGTAGAGCCCACCTGGAAGAGCATTTTATAGTGGCATGTAAGACATACGAAGACATTATCTAGGCGTGGGATGTCAGGAGTACCCACTGCCTGGTCTCCTAAATCCTTGAATTTTACGCTTGTAAGAAGGGGCTTGTGTAACCTACATAAGCCACACTATAAATATTCATGTGTAGTTCATTTAGGTTATTACCACATACAAATTTGGTGTCAAATCATGTTCTGCTCCTGCATTAGACTGTTGAACACCACTACCGTCCCGTAAGGATAACATTTTCAATTTTATTGAGGGGAAAAATTGTAACACAATAGTCAGCAACCTTTTCCAAATGTCATTTGACACAGAGATCTGATCACAAACAAAACATTTTCAGTTGGTACAGCTTTGGTAAGATTGTGGCTTAAAAAAAAAGATGGCACAACAACAACTGAAGAATTACAGGATATAATCAGTCTATGGAAGTTAAGTGCAATGCCTCCTCTTATGGAAGTGGCTCCTGGAGCTACTTAGCTTGGAGAAAGGCTCCTTAGGCTGGAAGGAAGTTTCTGAGTTTGTCGAGCAGAGTGGTAGAATACAAGCCATTTTCTTTTGGGTAAGCTGAAGCCTAGAAAAAATATACTCTTTGGTTCATTAACTTCATGCATTTTTAATTACAATCTCTCTCTGTCTTCATATTAGGGCTGCAAATTCCCCCGGGGGGCGGATTTCCCCCCGCTTTGGAGGCCCAATTTCCACCACCGCAGAATCGGGCCCCGGGGGAAACCCCACCCCGGCGTGCACGTCAGCTGGATGTGACGTGCTGACGCCGGGCACGCTGGGGGTGGGGCCACAGCCATTTGAGGGGAAAACTCTATGTGGCCCCGCCCCCAGCGTGAGCACGTCACATCCGGCTGACGTGCATGCGGCGCACGCACGCTAGGGACGCAGTCCGGGAGCCCCCCGCCGCAAGAAGAAAAGGATTTGGCAACCCTACTTCATATTTGTCAAAACATAACAGTTAATAAATGCATTTGAATGTACATCAAGGCTAGCAAGTGAAAGCCACTTTAAAATTCTATTCAGATTTTCATCAGTATGCTGTTTTTGCTGTGGAACCTGGGTTAACAGTTTATCTTCACAAGGCAGCATCCAAGCACTGGCATCCAATGGCACGATGCACATCCATTAAGAAGAATATCTGGCTGTTGCCTTTGCTTACTCTGTTAAGAATACCAAGTTTGGCAGCTTCTTTAATGCAAGGTTAGCAACTTGTTTCAAGCTGTGGACTGCTCCATTTTACAGCGGCGTATTTATCAAATTACTTCAATTCCCTCGCAGGTGGAATATATCAGGTCTTGTGAGAAACATTTTTTTTAATTCAAGGGAAATACAGTAAAGATTATTATTTTTGTTGTTTCTTTTTTACTTTGAGGATAATGAGAGTCTCCAGCTAGAAAAGAGGCCAATTTTAGAAGTATTACTATGCTCAGACTTCTCTTCTGTAGTGTAAGCCCTGATTAAAAAATTAAGGGCAGATGATTACGGAGGTGGAACATTGGTCCCTTTTATAGCATTTCTCAAACACTGATAAAGTAGTAAAAGATGAGAAACTCAAGGGCTTGTATGTTACCTTCACAGCAACAGAGCTATTGCAACATGGCTCCCTTTACAACTTAGGTAATGCCAGAAGCCCTGAGCCATAAAAGTAATTCAGACTGCAGCTCCTTTCCCTGCCAATGGCCCTCCAGTTTCCAGGTGCATACTGTGGTGGACCCTTTCAAATATGACCTGGGGCCCCACCGTGTGGAAAAGAGAGGTGCTGCAGTGGCTCTAGTGTGATGAAAGTGATGTTGAAAGGGGCTATGAGAGAGGCTCACCAAAGTCAAGAAGAAGAGAAATGACTGAAGCATCATCTCAATTGTGCAAAAAAAAAAATTAATAATAATAGTGGGAATGGCCAAGGTTTTACAGATATTATAAGGATAAACTGTCAGTGGGTGTGACTTTTAAAAATTACAAAATGTTATGCACTAAGTACTATTCATGTCAACAGTTAACCTTTTTTCGCATTTTAAAATGCCTTCATATGCTCTAAACCTAAAAATTAAAAAAAATCCATTCACAAAGCAAATGTAGAAAGCTGACAAAACCATCTTTAGTTCTGAGACCAAGATTTACAGTTAACAGCGCAATCCTAAACAGGTCTAACTCAGAATTCTACTTAAGCCTGCTCAATGGGATTTACTCCCAGGAAAATGTTCTTAAGATTGTACTGTAAAAATGCCAGTTCACAAGTCAAGTGGACTGTGGCTGCAAGCCAACTGTGAGGAGAACAGACATTTCTGAACATGTTTTTCTCACTGACAAAAAAGTAACTTATTATTGTATAGACATTTCAAAGTATAAACTACCCTAAGGCAATGTATCTGCTAGCTTAAGACAGGATACTGATGTCTTCAGAAGGCCCTCTACCCAATTTTTAAAATGTCTGTTACAAATTTAAGATAAAAGTTCTGTGTGAGGTTTTATAACTATCAGCAACATCTACTACAAACAAACTCCTGAGATAACTTTGGCCTTTGTCACATAATAGTTGCCCATCTCAGTTATATTTCCCCACTTAAAGCCCCAAGAGAATCTGTAAAAGTTCTACCAAAAAAAGAGAGAGTCCATTTTATATACTGTTATGACATATGGTCCTTATATGAAGAGAGGATATATGAAACTTTCAGACATTCAGTATCTTAACCATGTGCTGCGTTTTTTTTAATACAGTGCTGCTAAATGCAGCTTATGGATGTCAATTTGCAGTTATAGTGGGACATGGCTGAAGAGGTAGGACACGGATTCGCCATTGTGCGTTCTTCGGATGGCCTCTGCCAAAATCATGGAAATATCAATAACCTAGAAGATAAGAAAAGAACGAGAAAGTAAGAAAAGCTGAAGGCAGTAGAAAAAGAGGAAGGCCCAACATGAGATGGATCGATTAAATAAATAGGGTTGCCAGGTCTGGGTTGGGAAATACCTGTAGATTTGGGGGTGGAGCCAGAGAAAGGCAGGGTTTGGAGAGGGGAGGGGCTTCAATGTGGTATAATGCCACAGAGTCCACCTTCCAAAGCAGCCTTTTCCCTCCAGCTGATCTGATCTCTGCTGCCTGGAGATCAGTCGTAATAGCAGGAAATCTCCAGCCACTACCTGGAGGTTGGCAACCCTATCAATCAATCAAGCCATTCCGTTTGCAAGACCTGAGTAAGGCTGTTGATGATAGGATGGCTTGGAGGTCAATTCATAGGGGTGCCGTAAGTGGGAGCCAACTTGAGAACACACAATACACACAGAGAAGAGAAAAAATGTGACCCTGGCTCATGCATACTACTTTCAGTTTCACTTCAGCTTATCTGAGAGGAAAGCAAACATTAAGAGTGTAAACTGTCTCTCTAAAAATTGATAGCAGAGCACAAACATGTTGGTCCACCTCTGACCACTAGAGGGCAATGAGAAGCCATTTGAAACCACATTGAAAACTGTTTACATAAGCCTTGTTATTTCAACTGAACCCATCCATGAGCCAGTGGCTTGGTAACGTTCTACAGGTTCGGGTTCAGTAGCCCCTTAGAGACCAATAGGAGTTTCAGGGGATAAGTTTTTGAGAGTCAAACCTCCATTTGTCAGATAGAAGTAGACGTATATACCCCGAAACTCTTGTGGCTCTCTAAGGCGCTACTGGACTCAAACCCAACTGTTCTATTGCAGAGCGACACGCCTACCCTTTGGAATTACCTTTCCACTGTTTAGGCATCCAATCAGTCTAAATATCACCAATGTCTAGACAGCACCCTTACCCCTTTATTTATAGTTCTCACACATTTGCTGCATTATTTCTGTTTAAAATAAAGAAAACAAGGAGTAGAAATAGCAGGTATGCTTGGCAACAGAACTGAGAGCATGCTCTAAGCAATCGATCAAGGTGATTCCCCACTCCTCCACTTGCAGCTGCTGGATGACCTTGGGCAAGCCATACTTCTGACAAGAGCTGTCCTTGAAAGGGCAATTTCTGTCAGAGCTCTCTCAGCCCCACCTACCTCACAGGGTGTCTGTTGTGGGGAGGGGGAGGGAAAGGAGATTGTAAGCTGCTCTGAGACTCCAAGTGAAAGGTGGGGTATAAATCCAATGTTGTCTTCTTCTTCTACTACTACTACTATTACCACCCTAAGTAATGTTTGAATTCTCATGAGCCCAACCCTGCTGTTTAAAAAAAGGAGACTGTTGTGGTAGCCAAAAGTGTTTCTATCTGCCGTGTTTGGTTCACCAACTCCCAGCTTTCTCAGACTCGGCCAATCTGGCCGTATGGCTCAATGCTTCTGTAACCTCGTGGCTGGATTACTGAAATGCGCTCTACCCTTGCCTACCCTTGAAGGCAACCTGGAAACTGCAGCTGGTTCGGACTGTGGCAGCTCAATCACGTCAGGGGCCAGTGGACAAGGAGACATCCTGCCAGTTTTTAAATAACAGTTTGATTCGGAGTTCAATTTAAGTGCTGGTTGTCATGGTTTCCTGGCCTAACACCGACATATCTAAAGGTCCGCCTCTCCCCATGCACCAACAACAGCCCTCATCTTGCCATCTACTGACTGATTCCCCCCCCCCCCCTTAAGGTAGCCCAGCGGGCATCGATAGCAGCCCATGCCATCTCCATCGCAGTTCCCACTTTGTGCACCAGGATCCCCAAGGAAGCAGGAGAGGAAAACACCTCTGGAAATTCCTAGGAGCTACGGCAAGGACGTCTTATTTGCCAGGGCTTCTAATGGGGCGTAGGCTGCAGGCACAGAGGGGTGTGTGTGTGTTATTTGGGGTTTTGCTGCGGTTTGTATGTTTTCATTTTGGATTTGTAAGCTGCCTTGCGCCACAAAGGAAAGATAGGGTATAAATATTTAAATAAATAAATACGATGCTGCAGGGGCTTTGACCTATCACTCCTCCCTCCGGGCAAACACCTTCTGGAAGAAACCTCTCGGCTGAGTCAGCCTTGGCAGTCTTCGTGTGCTGGGAAAGGCCACGGGATTCTTTGTGAAGGGGAGGTCCTTTTTTGACCCAGCTTTCCTTTGCTTGTGATGACTCAGGAACATTTATGTATGCAAAATATTTGATGCAGTCTCATGGTGGCTTTAGGCCATAAAAATCATAAAAATAGCAAAACACTAAAACCCAGCAGCAATAAAAACCAATAAGACAGATCAACGATAACAAGCCCTACAGCCACTTGATGATGGATGAGATGGACTAGATAGCTGAAACTGTTCAGTACTCCTTATAGGGCTTGGCCAGACCAATAATACATTGTTGTGGTGGTGTTACAGTAATGGGAAAGTGCTTGTCTCCAGTCCTATGGATTCCACTGTAAGGCTTGGAGGCCACACAGCAGGAACAGGTGACCCCCCCCCCCCAGGAGCAGTATTGGGGGGGCACTTTGGGATGCAGCAGGAGAGAAATTCGTGTTCCACAGGCAGAATTCCTTCTGCCTGTAGAAATACTTCATTAGAGCAAAGCCTAAATCTGTTACTTATCAGCTCTCTCAGATGCAAGAGACGGATTTTGATAGCACAAGAAAGGGCATTTCACATTATCTTCCCTATCCTATTTTCAGATACCTAAATTGGCCAAGAAGCACAGACAGCGGAGTCTTCGAGATCAGCAGCACAAAATACACTAGTACATTACCTGGATCTTGGGACAATGTTTCATTTTTTCTTCCTGTGGGATTGTGTTCGTTACCACCACCGCTTCAAAACCAGCATTATTGATCCGAGAAATAGCAGGGCCGGACAAAATTCCATGAGTAAGAATGGCGTACACTTTAGTCGCTCCTGCTGACACTAGCCTATAAAACACAGGGAAGGGAAAGCATGCCATAAACATAAGCTCATAATTGCAGACAGGGAGTTTCAGGAACCAGCAAACCTGATTACCTCTATGTTTCTACCAGTACAAGAAAACCTTTTTCAAGGTAATAAAAAGTGCTGTTTCAAGTCTGCTGGCTGGGGTGGATAACCTGCTAGGCAGATGGAATATTTTGTGATCTGTATCCTTCAGGGACTTTGAAGTACATGAAGTCAAACTACATAAAGCTTTATAATTGTCTGTTTCATGCTATATGCACTCAAGTAAGCAAGCACTGCAATGGGAAGTGAAGACTGCTCCTCATCTACCCAAGCCCTGAAAGGTATCTGCAGCCTCCTCCTTTCTATCCAAGTTTATTTTTTCATGTCAGTGGAGAGCACATCTTGATAAAACTATCAGAATATTGAAGTCACACAATGCCTTGTACAGAGCTATTGTCAAAGCCACCAGATGCTACCCAATTATTAGATGAAAGTAGTTTCCATGCAGGATATTGCAGATTTCTTGGGCATTACTGATAACGTGCAGTGATTAATATACAGTGCTGATCTGGTAGCAGACCAAATCTATAAGATGGAGAAGTTCTATCTTATCAAAGGTTCTACAGTAGAGCCTAAAATAATGACATTCTACTATGTCTGAGCCTATTCTGGAACCGCTTCATACAAACTGAAACTCAGTAAATGCAAAAACAGCCACAAGTCTGAAGTTTTCTGAGAAACCGTTTCTGCTAGCCAATTCATCTTGTCTTGCTCAAGAAGTCTATCTAGATCCCTTAGGGTTTACTCACTTGTCTGCTGCATGACATACTGTGCCACATGTGTCTGCCATATCATCCACCAGAATTGCTACACGGCCGGTCACATCACCAACCAAGACCATTCGGTCCACCTCATTGGCTTTCTTTCTTTCTTTGTGAATCAGGGCGAATTCAACGTTAAGTCTGTCGGCAATTGAAGTGACTCTATAGTGTGCGGATACAGATAGTGAACATTTCTCTCAAAATAAAAAAAAACTTACATGTAAAGACATATTTTAATTGGCTAACATTATCGATTTCATGTCTAGTTACCAGTAGATAAGTTATGGGAAGGGTCTCCCAATAACATTTTGGGTTGGATCCAGACTACATTTGCAATTTCCACTGATTCCCTCTTCCCACTGCAGATACTGGGCCCCCCATGTTGTTCCTTGGGCATTTCACAGAGAGCAGTGGGCTTCAGTAGGAAAGGGGTAAGCAGGAAAGTTCCGTTCTGCTGCTGGAAAATTTATTCTAGATCCAACCCTTTATATAGCAATCATAGCCATAGCACCTGGAAGTCCCTCCTTAAAAATTAATATAAGAACGTGGTTATTACTTTGTTGTGGTTTAAAGTCAGCTGTACTTGACAGAGTTAATATAATCAAAGTTGCTGTACAATAACCAAATTTCCAAGAAATTAGGGGAGATCTTTTATTCTGCATAGTACAGTCTTCAGAACAACAAACAGACTTTCAAAGCCTGGGACTATGATCCACCTTATCTCACAAACTCCCTGCCTCATAGCCACTCCAGCAACACTGCAGTTAGAGATATAAATAACTGTTGACGATTTTGGTTTTATCTTTCCCTCCCTCCCTCCCCAAACCACTCGATATCAATTTGATTGCACTTAAACACAGTGAAATTACTACATATTAGAGGTCAGTGTATAAATGTTACGGCTGCCAAACTGACGCTGCTGAAAACATTTCACTGCATGTGGCATTTATAACATTACCACATGGAATACTCTGACCATGTCGAGCAGCTGGAAGCCCAAGCCAGCGGCCAGTAGGAATCTCACCCCAAGTGGGGGGCTCAGTGGCCCTCTCATGTCACTATCATATGGACCCACATCTAGGTAGAAGCCTTCACACTAGCTTCCATATGGAGGGCAAAACATTTGAGTCATCTCTAAAAGACCCTGTTCCTATGTTATCATATCGATGTGGCAGCTGCTAAGAACTGTTTCTCTAAAGTCAGGTCAGGTGGCCCATGTGGCAGTGATACACATGCAAGTGCCACTCACCCAGTTCCTATGGTCAAATCTCAGTTATTTCCCTTACCAGTTCTATACTTCCTCGTGGGAATATTGCCATGGAAAACAACTATATAACACAGTTGGACCCTGCACATATATTAGTATGCACATAATTTGCTGCTATGATGAGATTACACATGAAAAGATTATAAGCAGCTGCTACATCACAAGGATAATATGCATATGATAATGCAAGCCATGCTGCTGGATGATGCATTAGTGTCACCAGGCTAGAAGGTCCTGTGGATTGCTGAACTTGAGGCAACAGAAATATTCAGAACTGACAATCACCAGGCTTTAACTGAAATGGCCAATCTATTATAGGATATCCATATTGCTCTATGCTTTACTAAAACTGGTTGAATAAAGTTATAGAGTTGGATTCAACAGAGGATTCTGTTCCATCACCAGCCAGGGGATTTGATTTCACTGAAGGTGGGTCAGGAAGAATTTTACTGGTGATGTGAGGGAGTTCACTTGAGAGTGTCAGTTGGGAAGGAAGGTGGGGAGAGGGGAGAGGAGAGTGAACGACCTGGGAGGATCCTGAAATAGGGAAGTAGAACCAGTGGTCCTTCCCTGAGGAAAACAACTCCTAGGAAAGAGGGGTGATCCCCATCAAGTTTTAAAGACAGAAAATTGGAGCTTATGTGTATATTCTTACCTCCACAAATTAGCAATTTTGTGCCAACTAAGCTTATGCCTATTTATCGAAGTGGTGACAGCAAAGTGATCTCTCTCAACAGTTACAAACACCTGTCTGTAGAACAAAATAGCTACATTTTTGTGTGAAATGATCTACTGTATATAATTCTACAAAGTTTCCCTCATTCCTGTTGCCTTTTGACTTGCCAAGTGTAAAACTGAAACCTGAGTCTGACTTGACCATTTCCCCATAAGAGTGAAATAAAACAGTTTATGTGTTGTGAATTCATATCAGCCTCTCATGTAGGATTGCCAGGTCCCTCCTAGCTACCGGCAAGGGATGGGGGTGGGGGCTTACTGGGAGCAGCAGGGAGGCCCAAACAATGTGCAGCGATGTGTCTACATCACTGACCACATGATCTGAAATGGCATAATCACTTCCCAGATGTTGGGGTGACTCTGGTATTTGGGCAAAAACTCTATGGTAAATTTGGCTTCTACCAAAGAGTTTTTGCCCAAATACTAGAGCATCACCCCGGATGTGATGATGTGACTTCCAGGTCATGTGGGCAGTGACACAGACATGTTGCTGCACATCGGATGGATCTCCTTCTTTTTTGGGATAAGCTCCCCCTCGCTTGGCAAAATGAAAGCAAACCAAAGAGAGAGATCATGGGATGGAAGTTGAAAGGAAGCAAACAACCATGATATATTGTGCCGAAAAAGGTTCTTCAAGACTTGTAAATTTGATGAATGTGACTATGAGATATGACTAGTGTGCTTGCCAAATGAATTAATATTATATAGGTATTTCAACACTACCCACTTTGATAACATTATACTTGAAACGAGATGTAATACGCATGGTTCATTGGTGTTGATGGTAAACTGAATATTGGAAAAATAACTTACAAGTCTTGAAGAACTTTTTTTGGCAAAACGAAAGGGCGGGGAGGAAGCGTCACAGCAGGGAAGTCCCATTCTGCTAATGGAAATCTTTCCCAGGAGAAGGAGTTTACAGTGGGATCCAAGCCACAGACTCAGGGTTGGATCCAGACCAAATATCCCATGAACAGAAGGTGCAGGGTAATTTTGGCCAACCCTCCCTTCCTTCTGCAAACTCTTCCTTCCTTCTGCAAACATGACAATTATTTACTGTGCACATGGGGGAAATTGCTCACACCAAAATACACCCCCAAAACAAAGGCCATACTTCTAAACAGAGGATGACCTCAAGCATGAGATCAGCATGAAGATTTAGTACTGTCATAGTCCAGGAGGTGAATGTAACCAGAAGGCTGGATCAGAATTACATTAGAAAGATTCCAGTTGCTTCCTTACAGAAAACATGCCTTTGGGTAAATGAATATATATTTTATCAAAGAAAAATTAACTATCAGGAGATGCTTCATAGATGGTTTACATGAGCTAAAGAGTTAAACCTCAGCGTATTCTTTTCTGTACAAAACAATTCAATTAAAATACAACGAACGCTTACCTACACTTCAGCAGGGACAATGAGGTGGGTCTCATACTAGAGAAAGGAACCTTAGACAGCTCCAGAGAAGGGAGAGAGGGAGAAACAGGAAGAACTGCAGCAACTGTGCTACAAGAAGCAAGCAGCAGGGAAACGCTCCTTCCTTCAGGAGAGGGACTCAGCTAAGGAGGCCAAAATCAGGGAGAAGAGAGAAGAGAGAAAAGAATGGTCTTTAGAGCACTGAGACAATCTTAAGTCATACACTGCTTGTCCCATGTACCAGTTCACTTAGGCAGACAACAGAAGACCCAAAGCACATTCATTCTGCTTTGTAGAATGAATGCTAGAAAAGGCAGCATTCTACCTTTTTGCTCCACCTGCATCAGGCGAGACGATGACACAGTTTCTCCAGTCCACAATATTTTCTTTGATCCACTGCAACACTGCTGGTTCTGCATACAGGTTGTCCACTGGGATATCGAAGAATCCCTAGAGACCACAAGAGAGGAATTAGTTTTTGGTATGTTAAACCAGGGATTGACAAATTCTAGATGCCAGGGCACTACGGCACCTAGAAATCTCATCAGTTATTTATTTTAAGTGCCTTCTGGTGGTTCTTAGTAGACGTATGGTGTGAGATATATAGGTTAGCTTTTTTGTTGTGATTACTATGTTTACCCTGTATTTATTTATTCACTATAACACTTTTGTTATAGTTTTTTTTAATTGACAAGAAACTGAAGAATTTAGGATTAGTTTTTGTGGTAGCAATAAGAAGACAGTAAAATAGAAAACTCTGAAGGATGAAAAATAAGTGTGGCTCCTAAATTTTTGGGGTGGCTCCTAGGCCCGCTGAAAATTTGTTAAGGCCTATGTTAAATACTGTTGATTGTGGCCTGCACCTGCCAAATTTTGAAATCACTAACTCTGTCAAACGTTCTGGCAGAAGCAACCAATGGGAAAACCCACTAAGGCCCTGTTCATACGAGCCCATTTGGGCCGGGAGCGGGACGGAATGGGGGCGGAGCAAACCGGCGCGATCCCACCTCAACATCTGGGGAGCGTGCCGGATCCGTCCCGGTTCCGTCCCTTCCAGCGTTGCTCCGTGGCGAAAAAGAACCACCTCCTGAGGTGGTTCTTTCTGAAGGGCCGCAGCAACGCTGGTCGTGGGATCGCCGGCGCGTCCTTGCGCCGGCGCATCCCTGGCTCCTGGCCGAACTGCGCATGTGTGAGCATGCGCAGTTCGCCAGGCTCCCCTTCCCACCGTCGCGTTCTCCCCGGCATCTGATCGTGCCGGGGAGTGTTGCGACGCGGCTCGGGGGATCTGTGAGATCCCGCTGCGCCGTCCCAACTGTGCTGCGGCTCACTTTAGCCGCGGCACTAGCGTCTAATTCCCTGCCGTATGGCAGGGACCTAAGTATGCCTGGAATGCATACAGGGTAACTGTGGCATACAGAAACAAAGCTGAATCACTTGTTAAAATGAATGGAACAGGTGAAATGCTGGTGAAACGCTATGTCTAATATGCTGTTTGTATGTTATGTTTGTCTTGAAAAATAAAAAAATTACAAAAAAATAATAATATGCTGTGCGTATGCATAACGTTTGAAAAAATGCTCTAAAAGTCTAGTTCCTAGTTTTTCATTGATGGAGGGCTTTCAGTGAAAGAACTGAAACTAGAGAGAACTTCAGAAAGTACTAAGAGGGAGAAAATATGGAAATGAGCTACTGAAGTCCAATGCATTTCAGGAGTAGAAGACTTTATAGGACACACTGATTTATGGCAGGATCTAAATAAGTTTGCTGCCTCCGGAAGTGCCACTAGAGTTCTTCATTTCAATGAACTGCTTTCCCAAACCTTTTCAGGTAATCTCTTCTGATCTTTCCTGATTTCTTCTGCTTACTGGTGTTGTCCTTCACTTTTCCATTCTCAACAAAACAGTCACCCAGGCTTTGGAATTATTATCTTGGATTTTCCCACACATTACAGCCCCCACTTTGTAAACTGTGAATTCCATGACAGTGAAACTCATGGGAGTGAAAAACAGATGTCCCATTTGGCCTTGAGAAACCATCTAAGGTTTCGGACTATCTCAGGCTCAAGTTCCAAACAAGCGGTTTGATGAGAGCTTGGGAAAGGATGGATTTTCATTTGGACTGCAACTGGGCCCCAAATTTGGAATTTTAAGAGAGAACTGAAATGGTAGAGCTCCAGGTTCAAAGCAGCCCTGGCAATCACGACTATGAAAAGAAATCGTGGCAGTTTTAGCTGCCACCCTTTTTCATAGCAGGAAGTCAAAAAGGGGACAACAGGCGCTGGTAACAGAGAGCTGAACTGACTCAAGAACAGAACAACCTTACCTGTATCTGTGAGGCATGCAAGTCCATTGTGATGATGTGGTCTGCTCCAGCAACTGATAACATATTGGCAACAAGCTTTGCAGAAATGGGAGCCCGGCTCTGAAGGCAGAAGAAACGGGTTTTATGCATTTTCAGAACAAGTTATCAAACCTCCCAATTCGAGTTACATCAATAAACAGTGAGATTACCACAGAGTACGGCAGGATTATTCTAGACACAACTAATAGCTTCCTCGATAAAGTTTTATGATTGTTATAGTTGTTATTTATGTGTTTTTATTTTTAATGTAAACCACCCCGAGCCTGCTTTGGCAGGGAGGGCGGGGTATAAATTGAACAAACAAATAAATAAATACATGACAGTAATAACAATACATATTAGGACAGCCAGTGTGGTGGTGTAGGGCCAGGACCAGGAAGATCCAGTTTAAAACCCCCACGGCATGAAATCTACTGGATGAACCCTGGGCCAATCCCCTCACAAGGATAAAAGGGAGCAGGAGGCACGATGTGTGCAGCACCCTGGGTTCTTTAAAGGAAGGGCGGAATACAATTTTCACAAAGTAAACACACAAAATTAAGTTCCTAACATTTGGCAGAATGGGACTACTTGTTTATATGGAAATTATTCTTGTTAGAACTATTCTGCTCAGATCCTTGAAATGCAAGTGCTCTAGTAAGGCCCTTGAAGCTCACATGAAGCACTCTTAACTTGTAAAAACGAGCAAATTTCTCAAGGCAGGTCAGAAGTTTGGAGTACAGTCTGCTGAAACTGGCTTCTCCCTTTCTCTTGCTTCTTTCAAGCAATGTGGGGACAAAGCTGCTACTCTGAACCAAAACAGCTCCGTATAGTTTTCAGTGTTGTCCTCTCTGTGGAGTCATCGCAGTGACTGCTAGCAAACAAAACAGGGCCTTTTAATCTAAAAAGTGGTGACTGTCAAACCTCTCCTTTGCAATTCATAGGATTTTTAGTCCTTTCAGTGTTGGGATCAATAATGTCAGCAGCATGTTGAACTTTGCCTCGTTGTTGCTGATGCAACAGCATAGCTAGTAAGCGCTGGGGTGTCTGCTTCTTCTTCTTGTTTTTGTTTTTTGCCTTAAATAGAATCAAATTCTGGATTTTTCTTCTTTGCCACATCTCTGGAAATGTGTCTGGACACCACTACTTGCCCTCTCCCAAGAGCTTCACATAGACGCTAAAATGCATGGGGGGGGGGGGGAAACAAGATATAACTTTGCCAGAACCCAAGCCTACCTTCAAGGTAGGACTGAAACCACTACCAAACAGTGCCTCCCAGTCCCAACCCCTAAAGTTGATTCAGAAGAACACTATGCCAGGAGAATTAATAGGGATGCCCTCCCCCTCTCCATCTCCCGGCACATGTCATCCACCAGGGTGACCGAGGCTGTTTAACCAGGCTTGAAACCAGACTGGAATAAATCCAAATAATCCACTCTGGAGTCCCTGATCTTGCTCAGCCACCACTTGTTCTCAATCACCTTGCTCAAGAATGGTATATTTGAGGCTGGATGGTATTGTTCAAGTCTCCTGGGTCCAGAGTAAATTTCTTTAGGAGTGGGCACACCTCTGCCTCCTTCAAGGAAGGAGAGACCTCCCCTTCCCTTGGGGAGGCCTTTACTGTCTCCTGCCCCCCCCAGCAGATTTAAGCATCCAGGAGGGGCAAGGGTCATAAGAACATAAGAACATAAGAGACGCCAATGTTGGATCAGGCCAAAGGCCCATCCAGTCCAACACTCTGTGTCACACAGTGGCCAGAAATACCAGTGCCATCAGGAGGTCCACCAGTGGGGCCAGGACATTAGAAGCCCTCCCACTGTTGACCCCCCCCCAAGCACCAAGAAGACAGAGCATCACTTGCCCCAGAGCCCCTAACTATACCTTGTGGCTAATAGCCACTGATGGACCTCTGCTCCATATGCTTATCTAATTCCCTTTTGAAGCCGTCCATGCTTGTAGCACCCACCACTTCCTGTGGCAGTGAATTCCATGTGTTAATCACTCTTTGGGTGAAGAAGTACTTCCTTTTATCCGTTCTAACCCGACCGCTCTGCAGTTTCATGGAGTGCCCACGAGTTCTTGTATTGTGAGAAAGGGAGAAAAGTACCTCTTTCTTTACCTGCTCTTTCCCATGCATAATCTTATAAACCTCGATCATGTCACCCCTCAGTCGTCTTTTCTCCAAGCTAAAGAGCCCTAAGCGCTTTAACCTTTCCTCATAGGGAAAGTGTTCCAACCCTTTTATCATTCGAGTTGCCCTTTTCTGCACTTTTTCCAAAGCTATAATATCCTTTTTAAGGTGTGGTGCCCAGAACTGCACACAGTATTCCAAATGAGGTCTCACCATTGATTTATATAGGGGCATTATTATATTGGCTGATCTGTTTTCAATACCCTTCCTAATAATCCCCAGCATAGCATTGGCCTTCTTTATTGCAGTCACACACTGTCTCGACATTTTCAGTGAGTTATCCACTACAACTCCAAGATCTCTCTCTTGCTCAGTCTCTGCCAGTTCAGACCCCATCAATGTATATTTATAGTTAGGATTTTTGGCTCCAATGTGCATCACCTTGCACTTGGCCACATTGAACCCCATTTGCCATGTTGACGCCCACTCGCCCATCCTTGACAGATCCCCTTGGAGTGCCTCACAATCCTCACTGGTTTTCACCACCCTGAACAACTTTGTATCATCCGCAAATTTAGCCACTTCACTGCTTACTCCCATCTCCAAATCATTAATGAACAAGTTAAAAAGCAGTGGACCAAGTACTGATCCCTGCGGTACCCCACTGCTTACCACCCTCCACTGAGAAAATTGCCCACCTACACTCACTCTCTGTTTTCTATGAACTAGCCAGTTTTTGATCCATACAAGCAGGTGGCATGTCTCAAACCTCCAAGAATCCTGTCCATATCCTCAGACTGGACAAGCTAAAAGGTATCCCACACAGTTGGACAAATCAGCACCCTGGGACCATCTGACCCTGTCACTGTTAGTGTAGAGTCCAAGTCTGAATGGATGCAAGAGATGTTATTTGCAAAGTGCTTCGCAAAATGATTGCAGCGGGCTGCAGAGCAGTCCACCTCCTCCTGGGACCTTCTGCTTGCAAAGCAGAGATTCTTCCACTGAGCCCCCACCCCTGCAGTCTTGGTATCCCTTTAAGTCTAAACCTCAGCAGGTAGTGATTTGTCCCTGACTAGGGGACCCTCTTTACTTCTCCCACCTTGAGATCATATTCTTCCTGCCCAGAACAGAACAGAATGTGTTTCCCATATTGGTAGAGATCCTCTACTTTTTTTTCCGGGTTTTCCAGAATGTCTGCAGATGGGGAAAAAACCTGTAGATATTAGTTCTGAATTTTCGACTGTTCCTCCATGACCCAAAAGGGCAACCCTGTGTCAGAATGGCAAAGCCTCATGTTGAACATTGCTGTTCTCTTGCTAGGACCAAACAGCCTCTGTATAGGCTAATAAGGAGGTATCTACCTTCCATGTTACAGATGGCCCTTATACCTTTCTCATACAAGGTAAAAAGCTGCTTGGTTGAGACATGGTTAATCTTTTAAAAAGCCAGCCAAAAAATTAAACTCCCTACTGAGTATTCTGTTCCAGAGTGAATTTTCCTGTAACTGTTTTGGGCTTTAAGGCAAACACAAATGCCCTGGGGAAAAATGTACATGACTGAGTGTTCAGTGTAGTTGACCTTTATGGATTGGGGCTCAGTATTTCTCGGGACTGGAATGGTAACTTCTTCTCCTCCTCAAAGTTTTTTGACTCCCAGGGCTGTGGCAAAATCCTAGAAGCATACAGGTAACTTCCCATACAGGCACAAAACACTTCAGTTACACTTGACTGGAAGAGTTCTGTGACTAGCAGAGAAATCAGCGGTTTGGATTGTCCTTCCAGTCTGAAGGGCAGAACCACTTCAAAGCTCAAACGACA